GGGTGTGGCGGTGGCAGGGGCCTCTGCCCCGGGAAGGGGAGGAGGCTGGAGGCACTCCCCGCCCGGCCGGCATCCCTCCCCGCCGCCCGCGATGCTCAGTCCCGGCTCAGCCTGGCAGCAGCGCAGGCAGGGAGGGCATCCCAGGTGAGTGCGATCCTCTCTTCCCAATCCCTGGCTCCCACTCCCCTCCCTGGCCCCACACCCTTCCTAACGTGGGGTCCCCTCATGCTGCACCCCATCTGTGGGTCGTCTCTTGGGATAAACTCTAAATCTCCTAAATTCAGCCTCTTCCTTCTTCAAACTTCTCTCTTAAGTCAGGAAGGCTGACTGGTCAGAGCTCATCCCGGTAGCCTGTGGTTGCTCAGCCCCTGCCTCCTTCTTGCTGCTGGGGTCTCATCCTGGGAGGTGGTCCCTGAGTTTGGGGTAACTCTTTTGGGGAGGGATCAGCTGCTTGTGCATAGGGTAGAGCTGTTGGTGCAGTCAGTAGGCACAGGAGCAGGGGGGGACAAAGTGAATACCGGGAGGGACAACAGCAGTTTATGGGGCTGGTGTGTCCCAAAGAGTGGCACGTGTGGGGGACTGTGTCCCAGTGCCCCTGACTGTGCCTACTCCCAGACCCTGGCAAGGTGCAAAGGTGCACAAGGGTGCAGAGTACACATAGCGGTCTGCCAGGGAGAGCTAGCAGAGGGACACCATGTACAAGGGGGTAGCAGGTCAGAGGGGGTCTGTGACACACAGGAAGGGAAATCCCCAAGGCGGTTTAAGGCAGTGATGCCTCCAAATGGGTCCACAGGGCTGTGTGGGGAGCTGTGTCAGCTCTGCACCCTGCAAGGGAGTGGGACATGCACTCACCATCCCCACACATCCCTGGGAAAAGCAGACTTTGAACCCAACCACCCTGGCCCCCTGGGACAACTGTCCCTGACCATTGTCCCCAGACCTGGGGAGGAGAGGGGAGCTAGCAGCTGCCCCGGAGCCCTGGGAGCTTTAGCCCCTCTGTGGAAGGAGTGAAATTTAGGGAGGGGGCTGCCAGAATGCAAAGGGTTTGGACACGTGCTCCTACCCTTGCTTTGTGGCAGAGAAGGTGATTCAAGGACCATTTTGAGGTCCAGCAGGGCCTCTCCAGGAGCACTGCCACCACGAGGGCAGCCTCTTCTGAGCCTCCCTGTCCTTCCCTGCAGCCTGGAGGAGGACATGGAAGAGAACAACCAGACGGAGAGCTGGCACCAAAGCCTGCAGGCAGTGATTAATGCCTTAAACCAGACGCTGCACGGGGTCATCCTGTGCCCTCCTGACCGCTCTGCCACCACAGCTGCTGCCACCCGCAACGCTGAGACCCATGCAGACCATCCTGGCCGCAATGACAATGCCTACATGTACATCCTGTTCGTCATGACACTCTTTGCTGCCACCGTGGGCAGCCTCATCCTGGGCTACACCCGCTCTCGCAAGGTGGACAAGCGCAGTGACCCGTACCATGTCTACATTAAGAACAGGGTCTCCATGATCTGAGCCTGGCCGAGATGCCTTGTCCCCTGGGAGCTGATGGATTTGGGGACATGTCGCTGTGCACATCCCGCTTTCTGGCTGTGGGATGTGGCAGTGCTGCCGGCCAGGCCGGTCCCAAAGCTGCTGGGAACCCCCACTGGTGTCCCCATGGAGGTGCTCTAGCCCAGTGTGAGCAGCTACAGCTCCAGTTGGGGTGTGACCTGGTCCCACAGACCCACCTTGGCTGAGCTCTGTGGGGATGGTGACGGCAGAGGCAGCTTCTTTCCCACCATGGCCTACTGAGTCTGGCAGGAGCCTTCAAGGAGAAAAATTCCCCACTTCTCTGCTTGGATCAGCCAGCATTGACCTCTGTGGGCTCCCAGCAGCTGCGTGACATGGACTAGCAGGCTTTGCTGGTGCTGAAACCCTGTAATTTTTGAGCCAGGCTGGACGCTACTTTTGGATGGGGAATTAAAGGAGGTGGTGGGTTCCAGGGGGGTCGTTTGCTTCTTCTCTGAGCAAAGTTGGCGTTGAGGGCAATCCATGGGACACCCCTCTGTGCTGGTACCCTGCCCTGGCTGTTGGTGCCTAGGCTGCTGCCAAGGGCAACCCCTTGGTGGCATCACAGCCCCTATGATGGGACAAATCCCCCAGGAGGGAGTGAGTCCCCCACTGGCATTGCAGCCAGCATCCCAGGGAGATGCTTTGTCCTTGCTGCTGTCCAGGGAGCATTCCTGGAGCCATGGGCATGCTGTGTGAGCATGGCCCGAGCCTGGCTGGAGGCTCTCTCCAAGCTCCGGATGGTGATGCCGGAGTTTTTCCTGCTTCCTTCCTGCTGTCAGCTGTAGCTTTGGCCTTTTGTACCTTTGCAGGTCCCAAATGTGTTTTCCACAGGGTGAGGGTGCAGTAGTGGACGGGAAGGGGATGTTCTTGGGTCCTGCTGGGCTCCTTGGCTTCCACTCCACTATTAAGTTGGCCAGGTTTGGGCCTGGCCCATGGAGTGGCTGGTGGCCAGGACAGTAAATGTCCCTCTCCTTCAAAACAGGCTGTGGGGCAGTGCCAGTTACCCAGCGTCTTGCACGTCTTAACCTGCTCATAATGGCATAATGAATACCTTTAATTGCAGCTAGATTAGCTGGCCCACAGGGGCCTTTCCGCCTGCATTCCAAGGTTAAACACAGCTTCAATCCTGAGCCCAAACGGTGACGCCAAACCCTAATCCAAAAAATAATAGTGGATCTGTGAGTGCAATTGTGGTAGGGCCAGAAACCTTCGTGCCAGAGGCACTAGGATTGGAGCAGCTCAGTGACCAATTCCTGATTTCCCATGCCTTCAGCTTGGGCAGAGAACCCAAAGCAGAGGGTTTTGGGGAACCCTCAGGGGTTGCCCACTTTGGGGCTGAGCCCACTAGGATTCGTGAGCCAGGCACGTGGTGCCAGCAGGGCTTTCTGGGGCACAGGTAAAACCACTGTCCTCTGGCACCTGGCCCGAGTGGAAGGTAGCTCAAGAGGCTTTTCTGTGTTTATCTTACAGTTGCAGCGGTGGGAAAGGAAAATAAACCCTTTATCTGTAAATAAATCAGGGGAAATTGGGCCAGGTGGGGACAGCTGAGACACATGCACTGTGCTTGGGTTGTCTCCACCTCCATGGTGTTTGTCCTCCGCTAACAGCAGCTCCTCCAGTGGGATGAGCCATGGAGCAGCCGCTTGTGCCAGGATGTGGGGCCCTGGGATGGGATAGCTGCTGGATGGTGAGTGTGGTACCCCAAATCCCCCCGGTGATGTGGTCTTCTTGCTTTTCCCAATGCCCATTGGCCCTTCTGGGAGAGAGGGTTGAATCTGGTGACTCTTAGAACCTCTTCTGCTGCTGTGATCCAAGAGGGAAACCCTGTTAAAGGGTGGCACATCATCAAAACTGAAGAAAAAAATATTGCTTTTCCCTAATCCAGAAGACTCTTGGGAGGAAAATCACTCCTGTAAGACATAGCTCCTGTAGTGATCATCATCCACCCGGTTTCTGATCAATCAGCAGCTCCTCAAGTCCATCCATGCAGTAAATCTGGACCAGAGCCTGTGGCAGGGCTGGGGGGATGCCCTGTGTGCCCCCACCCTGGGGCTGCCGGCTAGATGTCACCAGGCTGGGTTACAATATGCCAGTGCCACCTTGTGGCAGCTGCCTCAGGCTCCCCGTGTCAGAACCATCTGCTCCTTCCCCTGGACACCCTGGCACCTCTGGGGCAAGGAAAAAAAGGGTTGTCTCCTCTGGACCTTCAGCTTATGTCTGGCTGCCCTTGTCCTCTTGGGACCCATGACTCCAGCCTGTCTGGTGTCGCCGTGGGACTTGTGGCTCTGGGCTGGTTGAGTGTCCTCGTGACACCCACAGCTCCAGCCTAGCTGGTGTCTCCATGGGATCCATAGCTCTGGGTCAATTTGACAAATATCCTCAGCAGGGGTTTGTGCTGGGCTGCTTGAAGGGGTACTGAGACAGGGAGATATGGAGGGAAGACAGATCTGGGAGCCCCCTGAAATGGTTTTGCTTCAGTTGCCAGGAGAAGGATTTTGAGACTAATTAGGTGCTCATCCCAGGACTCAGAGGTTCCTCAAAGCCCGTGGGGCTCTGGCCTCACTCCCTGGGCTGTAGTCCCTGGAGCAGATGATTTCTGGGTAACACAGAGTTTGTTTTAATGGCAAAGAGGTGCTCTCAGGAGCACAGAGAGAAGAGCTGGGGCAGTGCTGGTCCTGGCTGAATCACTAAATCCAATGGTGCAAATCGTGGCTGACTGTATTTGGGTTTTAAGCAATGCATCTAGTAATAAAGATAGGGCTCATGGGAGCCTCCAGAGGAGGCCACAAAGTTGATAAGAGGACTGGAGCACCTCCCCTATGGAGACAGGCTGAGAAAGTTGGAGCTGTTCAGCCTGGAGAAGAGAAGGTTGTGTGGAGACCTCATAGCAACCTTCCAGTATCTGAAGGGACTACAGGGCAGCTGGAGAGGGACCGTTTGTTAGGAACTGTAGTGATAGGACAAGGAGTCATGGGGATTAATTGAAAAAGGGGATAATTAGATAAGATAGTAGGAAGAAACTCGTTACAGTGAGGGTAGTGAGGCACTGGCACAGGTTGCCCAGGGAGCCTGTGGATGCCTCAGCCCTGGCAGTGTTCAAGGCCAGGTAGGATAAAGTCTTGAGCAACCTGGTCTGGTGGGAGCTGTGCCTGCCCAGGGCAGGGGGGTGGGACTAGATGCTGCTGGCTGGTGGTATCTGTGTGTACAGCACAACACGGAACTCGAGACTGGACTTGGGATATCTGGGCAGGAATGTTCCAGCTCCTTGATCTTCCTTTAACTTCATCAAAGGAAAGCTAAGAAAATTGGAATTTGGTGATCAAGGAGGAGATCTTGTTAGCTGTAACTGAAATGACAGTCCAACACACAGCATCTGCTGTACCTCAAAATATAAGGGTAAGCTGCTTGTAAGTCAAATGAAATCAACTAAACAGGCTTAGCCCCAAAGGGGCTCTAGTTCCTTCCCTAAAAGCAAAACAACAGTTGAACCTTTTTGTTTGTATCTAGTTTCTAAAGGACACCAAAAAGCTCAGGTCTTCAGATTGTCACATTTGTTGATTTGCCTGTCTCAAGCACCTTGATAGAAACAGCCTCACAAAGTGCTTTTAAAGACCCGAGTGTGTTGCTGTGCTGAGCACAGCTCCTGCACTTGCCTAACCCAGAGAGGTCATTTTACAAGCTTTTTGGCTTTTTTAAAGCACACCATGGAAAAAATGCAGCATTCAGGAGACCTTTTCAGTACAAAACCTCTGCATTCCACATAACTTACCTTGTACTTTGGGATAAATTGGGGTGAAACGTCCGATCCCTACTCCTTGCTTGTTCTCTCCGCAGAACAAACAGGCCCATCACATCTCCTTTCTGCAGATGGATGTGCCTGCAGAGCACACACCGGGGCTATTAATATCGAGAGGGGAGGATTAAAAATAACCAGGTCTGTGTTTGGTTTCTGGCTTGTGAAGGACACACATTGATAAATTAGGGGACTGGTGTCTGAAACTAGCTTCCCTGAGGTCCTGAGGCTTGGGAGAGCAGGAGGTGCTGAAATTCCCTCCAGGGAAACAGCAGCCCTGGAAGGAGCTTATGTCCTGAGGGAAGGGAGGATGTGGCAAGCTGGATCAGTGTGTACTCCAGGGGGATTAGGGTGGGAAGAGGTGCTAAACCTGAGCTCCTCTCTGCTTGCTAGCCTGGGGCTTTTGCCTCAGACATGTGCTCATGGACAGACTTGGAATTGTGGTGTGTTTTAGGCTCCAAGCTGCCTGTTAGGAAAGATCCTACCGCCTGCATTTGCCAGCTGTGGAGTGGCCTATGAACTGGGGAGCTGAAACGGTAGGAATGGTGAGGAGAGCTGCTCCTGCCCTCGAGGAGGTTTTTCCAGTGGCTCTGATCTGCAGGTCACAAACTGCTTTTAAAGTGCCAGTATTTGTGCTCCTGAAGAAGCCAAGGAGTGTGTGGCTGGTGCCAGAGGGTGCAGGAAAAAGCCTTTCCAAAGCTGACATCGTGAAGCATTGAGCCAGGGGCAGGTGCAGAGTTTCAAAAGACATTTCCTAATCCCAGTGGTCCCTGCTGCATCCTTCCCACCTGCCAGCCCATGCCCTGTGTTCACGCGCTGCCTGCAGAGTGCCTGCGCTCGTTCAGGACAAAGCACTTCACCTGCTCTGACCCCAGATCAGGCTAAAAAAAGGGCATTCCAGCCCAAAAAGGCATCTGCCCCTCCCCTGAGGTGACAGCGCGCTGTCAGCTGCCAGGGATGTCCATGCTGCCTGCCTGGAGCGTTCTGCTGCCTTCCTGGGAGGGAAGGGAAGGGATGGGAGTTGCTGTGTCATTACCAGGTAACTCAAGAGGCCCAGGAGAACACACAGGGTGTTCAGGAGACCTGAATAATAAAGCAAAGGCTGGGCTGCAGAGCCAGGGTGTTCACAGGGCATGCTGAGAGGCTTGGCCACTGGCTGGAAGGATGC